ATTTTTGGTTGCGTTGGGTCTTCGTTGCTGTGCATGGGCTTTCTCTAGTTGCGGCAAGCGGCAGGCTACTCTTTGCTGCGGTGCGCGGGCTTCTCATTGCGGTGGCTTCTCTTGTTGCAGAGCACGGGCTCTAGGCGCATGGGCTTCAGTAGTTGCGGCACACAGGCTCAGTAGCTGTGGCTCGCAGGCTCTAGAGAGCAGGCTCAGTAGTTGTGGTGCATGGGCTTAGTTGCACCCTGGCATGTGGGATCTTCCCGGACCAGGGCTGGAACCCGTGTCCCCTGCATTGGCAGGCGGATTCTTCACCACTGCGCTACCGGGGAAGCCCGAGACAGTACATTTCTGCTGTTTATGACATCTAGGTTGTGGTACTCTGATAGGGCAGCTCTGGGAAAAGAATACAGTCTCATCCAGATTGAAGCTGCAAGTGTGGTGGAAATACAGCATGGGAATTCATTTCTCCCTGCACTTCTGTGACCAAGTTGAAAGCTCCCTGCTGTAAGAAACTCCTGTGCTAACTGAAGAATGTCATTCGCCCTCTGCCTCTACAAGAATGAGTTACCAGCCATTGCAGTCGCTGACCTTTGACACACCCTGAAAGGAGTTCAGGGCAGAGATCAGGAATGAGGCACTCTGAGCTCTGGAAAATCTGGCAGAACAGGCCTTCAAATAGTTAGATATTTTCAGGAGAAAATTTTATGAACCCAATTTCTTGCATCTTCTCATACCTATAAAAGCACTAAAAACATTAACGGAGATGTCAGCTCCTTGTGACTAGCAGCAGCCTTCTACCGATGTGTGTGCTTGATTGCATGGACCCCCGTTACCAGAATCATATATTTGCTGACCTCCCCCCTACCTCTTCCGAGCAGCTCCTCCAAGCTATCTGAAAGGCTGTCTCCTGGGCTATAGTCCTCAGTAAGCCCCAAATGAAACTGAACTCACAGCTCTCATGCTGCACGTTTTTTTTAAAAAAATAAACTTATTTTCTTTTATTTATTTTTGGCTGAGTTGGGTCTTTGTTACTGTGCGCGGGCTTTCTCTAGCTGCAGCAAGAGGGGGCTACTCTTCGTTGTGGTGCGCCGGCTTCTCATTGCGGTGGCTTTTCTTGTTGCAGAGCACGGGCTCTACGCGTGCAGGCTTCATTAGTTGTGGTTCACAGGCTCTAGAGCGCAGGCTCAGTAGTTGTGGCACACGGGCTTAGCTGCTCCGTGGCACGTGGGATCTTCCCAGACCAGGGCTCGAACCCATGTCCCCTGCATTGGCAGGTGGATTCTTTTCTTTTCTTTTTTTTTTTTGCAGTACGCGGGCCTCTCACTGTTGTGGCCTCTCCCGTTGCGGAGCACAGGCTCCAGATGCGCAGGCTCAGTGGCCATGGCTCACGGGCCCAGCCGCACCGCGGCATGTGGTATCCTCCCAGACCGGGGCACGAACCCGCGTCCCCTGCATCAGCAGGCGGACTCTCAACCACTGCGCCACCAGGGAAGCCCTGGCAGGTGGATTCTTAACCACTGCACCACCAGGGAAGCCCTGTTGCATGGACTTTGTTTTTGTTTTTCAGTCGACACCTGTTACCTGTATTGCAGCAATACGAGGAAGGCAGGAACAGGAGAGGCAGGGGTATTCTCCTTAGACAAGGAGGATTGTATGTGAGCCACTTTGAACTTTGACGAGAGTACTGGTGGAGTGGAAGAAGCTTGTGCTAGAGGGGCTGAAAGCTGGGTTCTGGTCTATGCTGTTCTCCTCTTGGTCTCAATTCTTGTATCTGTAAAATGGGCTGGGTCCTCTGAACCACTGGCTTTTCTGAGGGACTTTCTTCCCCATAGTAGATGCTCAGTAATATTTGTCCGCACTTTAGATTTACCCAGCGACTTTTGAGCAGGGGGGATGGTCACTTTTCCTTAAAGAGACAGGGAACTGACTTGATTAAGGCCTCTTTGCTGGTAAGAAAGAGCCACACCTCAAACCCACACTTTTTAACCATGTCCTGCTGCTCTGAGATCAGCAATAACAGCAGCCACCTTTTTACCCAGCACATACTCTGTGTGATTTACCAGGCTAAGCATTTTACACGCAAGATCTTAATCTTCATTTAAACCAGCAAGGAAGGTATTATTATTCCTTTTTTACAGAAGAGGAAACCAAAACTCTGAAGGTTGGGTAACAGGCTCAAGGTCACACAACACAGTACGTGGCAGAGGTGAAGTTCCACCTCTTTCCAGGTGAAGTCTGGAGCCCATCCCCATTCTCCCAAGCACTTGCTACCACCTCTCTGCTCCTTTAAGATAAATTCTGAGCTGAAGGTGAAGATTGGGCCAGCAGGTCAGCAATCTAGTCTCTGACTGAGCGAAGCTCCCTGGGGTCAGTACCATATTTTCTTGAATGACAAAACCACGGTAGTCCACTTATTCGCATTTGCTACTCATTCACACTCTGACCATGAGCTCAACACTGGGTACTAATCCGAGGGCACAAAGTAAGGCTTTCCCCAACTTCTCATATCAAAGCAATACATGCTTATTGTGGAAAATTTGCAAAATACAAAAAAGTATAGTTCCTCAAAAAATTAAAAATAGAATTCCTATACGATCCAACAATTCCACTTCTGAATATATGCCCCCCAAAATTAAAAGCAGGGACTTGAACAGGTATTTGTACACTCACATTCATAGCAGCATTATTTACAATTACTAAAAGGTGGAAGCAACCCGTGTCCATCCATGGATAACAACAAAAATAAATACAATGGAATATTATTCAGCCTTAAAAAGGAAGGAAATTCTGACTCATGTGATGGCAAAGATGAAGCTTGAAGACATTATGCTAAGTGAAACAAGCCAGCCACAAAAGGATAAATACTATATGATCCACTTATACGAAGTCCTAGAATAGACAAATTCATAGAGAAGGAAAACCACTTTCCAGGGACTGGGGTAGGGGAGATTGCAGGGTTAGTGTTCAATGGGTACAGAATTTTGTTTTGCAAGATGAAAATTCTCTAGAGAGGGATGGTGGTGACGGTTGCACAAAAATGTGAACATACCTAATGCCACTGAACTGGACACTTGCTTAAAATGGTAAATTTTATGTTCTGTGTATTTTTACCACAAAAAAGTATAGAGAAACAGGGAAAAAAATCACCCATGACATTTCAGTGCAGCTCTATTGATAGGCTGGCACAGTGTCTTCTGAGTCTTTTTCTAATTTTAGCCTTTTATAGGTCTTTCTTTACAGCTATCTCTCTCGTGCATTATTGGAAGATGTTTTTACATTGTTATAGGACCCAAAGGGGCCATTTTAAGCTATGCCATCATATGTGAAGCCCTGATGTTTACACATATTATATTCCATGTTGTGGCCTGGTAGGCAAGACTGCTAGGAAAGACAGAACTCACAGAACACAATCATGGGGACTCTGGCTCTCAGGACCCTTATGGTATCCTGCTTCCATTTCCTGCTGCTGAAGGATCATTGAGAGGTTATCACACTTCTGCTTAAACTTCTCCAACATCCAATCTCACAACTTGGGGACAGCTCATTCCATTTTTGCAGTCACACTCATCCAACCTACTCTCCTCATTTTACAGACAGAAAAAAAGGAAAGCCATAGACCTCACTCTCAGAAAGCAGATGTCTTCTCTAATTTGTGACTTTCTCTCCAAATAGTATTCTTTACAACAGGCTGCAAACTGGCAGTGTGTGGGGTAAACCTGACCGGTAGATGAATTTTATTTGGCACAAGTTTTACAAATCAAGATTTTTTTGGTAAAAGTCCAGAACTCCAGGTTCTGTTGAAATGTGAGAACTGACCACACTGGGCGGCATTTCCACTCGGCCACAGCTGGCAGCAGCTGCCCGGTACACGCTCTCTACCTTGCCAAAGTCCCCTGCACTCTGCTCTCTCCAAGGAGGCTCAGGTCTAATTTAGAAATCCCCACTGGCCCTGAAGCATACAAGGTTGATCCCTGACTTTAAACTTTCAGATTGAGAAATGAGCTCAGGATCGGTTTCATTCATCACTGACAAGGCTGTGCCACCGACCGTGCTGGGGCACGCCCGCAGGGTTGGGCCTTAACCAGGCGTGAGGGCATCTGCACAGATCCGGCGACCTTCCATTCAGGGCCGACCACTGCCCGCGGACTACGGCCCAGCACCCAGGCCAGCACTGGCCTCCGGGTTCCGCTCCCGACTCGTCATACACCGGCAGGGCGGCAGGCTGGCCCCTGCGGAACGCCGCGTAGTCGTCGGTACCGCGCGCGGGCGACACCTACCTCGTCTGGCTGGTGAGGGACTCGGCAGGCGCCCAGTCGGGGGCGGAATCGCACGGTTCCCACCAGCAGATAGCGAGGCTCCGGGAGCTACCAGCCGGGAGGGCGGCCCCCTCACCGCGTGGCCGGCGCTGCCATGGCGACGGCCCTCCCCGGGCCCCAAGCACCAGCACTTGCGCCAGGGGTCGTGGAGCCCCGGCCTCGCTCAGCTGGAGCTCACGCATGCGCACCGACACCCAGGACCCCGATACCTGGCGGAGATGGGTCGAACCACTGCGCGAAGGGGAGAGAGAACCTTGGAAAGGCTTGAGAATGGATGGAAGGAGGAAGAAAGGGCCAAGACAGGACCCCAGATTGGACTTGACTCTTAGGTATCAAGGCTGTGGAATCCACCGGGGCAGTGGGGTTGACGCCGACTCCGCCCCGAGGTTCTTCGTGACCTTGTACCCCCTCCGCTTGTAATGGGTGGGCCCGGAAGGGCGGGCTCATGGAAGTTGCGCAGGCGCAGTGGGGCCGGCAGCATGGCGTCCAGGCCCAAGCGGCGTGCCTTGGACGGCGGGTTTTCGGTTCCGCGCGATGAGGACGAGGATGATGAACTCGAGGATGAGGACGAAGACAACGAAGACAGTGACGAAGAGGAGGATGAAGACGACGAGGTCGTCAATGAGGTGAGAAACACGCGCGACCCCGGTTTGGCTTATGTCTGGGAAAAAACTTTCCAACAACCAAAGCCATGTGAGTGTGTGAGCTGCTTGGAGTAGCGACTTCCCCGTACCTGAGGGTCCTTAAGCAGAAACTGGAGGTGAGAAAAGGTTCTCACTCAGGTTCCACTTCGGTCTTTTACATATTGCAGCCACAGAAAGTTATTTTCAAAAGTCCTGTCCCGGCCGGGTGCGTGGGCCCTCCCACCGCCGCAACGGCACCGTCCTCGGTGGCCTTTTTTAGTTCTCAGGCTAAAGCCCCAAATCCTTCTGGGCCGCCGGGGGCCCCGAGTTCATCCTCTGCCCTCCCCGCGCAGCCCCCCCGCCGGGTTCGCGGTGCCTGCCTCCCTCATGGCGGCCGCCTTCCCGTTTCTTGAAGGCCAGCCTCCTCCTCCTCTCTGCGCGCTGCGTTTTTCCTGCAGTGTTTTCCCTTCCTTGGTCAGATCTCAACTAAGCTGTCCTTTCTGCTCCTCAGACCAGGTCCTGGTGATATGTTCTCCTAGAACTGGCTCCTACCGTAGAGCCTGGCATTAGAGGCAGTGAACACTTGTTGAATGAATAATTAGGACGGAAAGGTCCTGAAGACCCCGGAATGGCTAATAGGTAGCCCCGAACTTAACACCCGCCGGGCAGAATTGGGTAATTTATGCCCCTGATCCTAATCTTTGCCATTTCTCTAAATGTTACCTGAAAACTGGGTTCATCTCTTGGTGGGTGATCGAGCCAGTAAGCACAACCAAGCTGACGATTAGGAGGAGGAAGGATTTCTTACTTGCAGCAAAAGTAAGGAGCACACCGGGAGTCTTTCCCAAAGCAGTGTCTCCCCCAAACAGCAACGCTGCTGTTTTAAGCTAAGGGTACGTGCATATTCATGAGGGGGCTTGGGCAGAGGCGAATTCAGCATAAAATTGGGGCAAAGGTCAACGGAGTCCAAGCTTTAGCTGATTGAAGCCTGGAGGGTCAGCAGCATCATCCGGTCCTCCACCTGGGTGGAGGCCTGAGTTCCTGCAGAACTCAGATATTAGGGATATCATTTGAGGAGGAACTAGGACTCTCTCAAGAAAGCCATTCCTGGTTCTTTTTCTCAGGGACCCTCTAACATATCTGCTTACATAAATGGTTGCTAAATTCACCAGCTGCTCAAATCCAAAACCCGAAAGTTAACTGTAATTCCTCCCTTTTCCTCATCCCGCATCAGTAAATTCTGTTGGCTTTACCTTCAGTATCCAGACGTTTCTCATCAGTGATTCTGCAATGGTCAAAGTCCACCCTTCCACCATCTCTTGCCTGGACTTCTGTAGTAACTTTTAACTGGCATGCCTTTTCGCATTCTTGTTCCCTTACAATCTCTCCTCCACCCACAGCAGAAAGATCTTTTAAAAATGTAGGTCTGCGGACTTTCCTGGCTGTGCAGTGGTTAAGATTCCTCGCACTTCCATTGCAGGGGGCATGGGTTTGATCCCTGGTCTGGGAACTAAGGTCCTGCGTGCCGCACTGCACGGCCAAAAAGAAAAAATGTAGATCTGTTCTCACTTCCCTGCTCTGACCGCTCCAATGGCTTCCCATTTCATTTGTATGAAAACCCAAAGTCCTCATGGTTATTGGACAGAGAGACAGCTAATATGGCGGGATCAGAATAAGGAAGAGAGTGATGGGGGAATAAAGTCAGAGATAAACATGAGCAGGGCAAGCATGGGTGCAGGATTAGTGCTGTGATTGTGGTGTGGGTATATGATATACTTTCTGTGGGACAGAGCTTTCCCTTACAAAGCAGCTCTTTACTTTGGCCCCTTGCCTTAAATGTGGTCTCACCATTTTTTATTTAGATCTTTAACTGGCTTTTGCTAACTTCGGGTTATAGAACTCAGCGCTTCTTGCGTTAACATGGATAATCTATCAGTTTGCCAGTGGTTGGAAATTTGTGTAGTAACCGTCACTGATGATAGTGTAAGAAAATAGGCACTTACATATACTGCTGGTGGGACTGTAAATTGATGCACCCTTTTTGGAGGGCCATTTGACAACATCAAAACTTTAAAATGTGTATAATTCCTCTGATTTAGTAATTCTGCTTGTGAGAATCTACCCTCCAGCAATAATAGTAATACTAATAATGCATGATTTAGAATCCTCAAGGACTGATCTTATTTAGCACTTAAAAGCCTTTAAGTTTTTTTTTTTTGGAGTGAAGTAATCCTTTCATTTATTTATGGAATATTTCAGTGGCATTGCTTCTTAGAGTCTGTTATTATTGTTGTTTTACAGAGATAGATCAGGGAGCCTCGCTACACACACCTTTCAGTTACTTGTACTCACCATATTTCCTCCTGCCTCAGGGCCTTCGTCTGTGCTGTGCCAGGAACTCTCTTTACTGGTCCTAGGTTCCCAGCTCAAGTGTCACTTCTCTAAGGGAAGCCTTTCCTGAATTTCCAACCTCCTATTTCTTAAGCTGTTATAGCACCATTCACCTGTGTTTTATAGCATGCATAATTGTAAGCTTATATTTATTTCCATGACTATTTCCTTAATGTCTGTATTCCCACCTAAACCGTAAGCTCCAGGAGGGCATGATCTTTCATGTCTGCTTTGCTCACCTTTTCATCTTGAGTGCCTGGCACAGTGCTTGGTACAGAGGGATACTCAGTAAATTCTTGTCCAGTGAATGAAGCGTGGCCTCAAATCCATGGGCTGAATCAAGCTCTAGGCAATGCCAGGCACTTTTGAAGTGATTTTGTTCTTTGCTCACTCTTACTGCAGTCACGTAAATAATAATTCCTCATTTGCTTTATCCAGAACAGACTTTCTCAGCATCAAAACTAGGTCACTCTGAATGCTTTGTTCTTCTCAGGCTTTTGTTTCAAATGAGGAGATGGTGTGAAGGTGCTTTATCATCTGTGCAGATGGCAGTCTTGGCAGTGTTTGCTTATTTTGAAGCCTAGGCAGTTATAGTTATTTTGGTAACATTTTCTTCTTCTTGTCCTTTTTCTGGCATGTTCCATAAATGGAGATAGAGCCAAAAAGAATGAGGTGGGGAGGGAAGATAATGCCTGAATTATCTTAGTGAGTTATGTATGATGACCTATTTTGTGTGTCGTTTACAGGAAGTGAATATTGAATTCGAAGCTTATTCTATCTCAGATAATGATTACGACGGAATTAAGAAATTACTGCAGCAGGTATTGTCTTTTATTCATTACACACGCATTTGCTCTTCTAAGAAATTCCAGGCCATTCAATATAAGTTCTGTCAGATTTCATTTTTTCTATTTTAGAATTCCCATTCCTACCCTCTCCACTTTGCCTGGAAGGAAGAATTGTTTTCTTTTCCAGGGCTAACTTCCCTATTTGTGCCTCTGCTCCCAGACCCCTTCCTTTGATGAAAATATTTAAGTATTCTGTGTTCTAAAATACTCTCCCTTTCATATTTTAATTACTTGAGCTATTAGTCTGTTTTTCTCTAATTCATTTCTAAGCTTTGTGGGGTTAAAGGAATTCTCACATAATGGCCCTGTCACTGATTCCACCATCTGGTGCCACAAGCAGCAGGCTTGCTGCTTCTCCGTATTCCTTTACTCCACATAAGATGGCTTTGGTTCGCCACCCTTTAGAGCCTCCAGTGTCCAGTCCACCCTCCTCCCCTCTCTTCTCCCTGTCCGCTCCCCTCCCCAAGACCTCCTGTATTACCACCAACTCTGCCTCGTCTCAAATTTCTGTGCCTTGACTGCTTTGATTTGCTCCGGCTTTTCTTTCCTCTTGGGATTGCTTTTCTGGGTCATCTTCCTGGTCAAATCATTGAAATTTCTTTATTTTTATTTGAATATGGAAATTAGAAGTTTTATTAGAAATCATACTTCGGTTTTATTTTTTTTAGTTTTTTTTTTAATAGATTTATTTATTTTTATTTATTTATTTTTGGCTGCGTTGGGTCTTCGTTGCTGTGCGCGGACTTTCTCTAGTTGCGGCGAGCGGGGGCTGCACTTCGTTGCGGTGCGCGGGCTTCTCATTGCGGTGGCTTCTTGTTGCGGAGCACGGGCTCTAGGCGCGCAGGCTTCGGTAGTTGTGGATCTCGAGCTCAGTAGTTGTTGCATATGGGCTCAGTAGTTGTGGCTCGCAGGCTCAGTAGTTGTGGTGCACAGGCTTAGCTCCTCCGTGGCATGTGGGATCTTCCCGGACCAGGGCTCAAACCCATGTCCCCCGCATTGGCAGGTGGGATCGTAACCACTCTGCCACCAGGGAAGTCCCATACTTTGGTTTTAATTTAAAATATGTATTTTTTTCTCCTCTTAGCTTTTCCTAAAAGCTCCTGTGAACACTGCAGAACTAACAGATCTCTTAATTCAACAGAACCATATCGGGAGTGTGATTAAGGTAAGCAGGACAGTTGTGTTTATTCTGATTAAATTAGTTCTTTATCCTAAGTTCCTCCTGTTTTATAGCAGGTAGGCCCGAAACTCAAATTGGAAAGTATTACTGGTTAGAAGGCCATCTCAGCAATTCAGGGTTATTAAATG